TAGCAAATAAATATAAATATGCCGTGATGTAACGTAACGAGTTATTAACAAATAAATATAAATATGCCGTGATGTAACGTACGAGTCATTAGCAAATAAATATAAATATGCCGTGATTGTAACGTACGAGTTATTAACAAATAAATATATTAAATATGCCGTGATTGTAACGTACGAGTTATTAACAAATTAATATATTAAATATGCCGTGATTGTAACGTACGAGTTATTAACAAATAAATATATTAAATATGCCGTGATTGTACCGTACGAGTTATTGGCAATGTTATGTCGTTCTATTCCGATCTATTTCCCCATAATGTTACGGATTAAAAACTTTGTATATGTATTTTTACAAAAATCAGGTGAATTGTTGGCTACAATTAAAAGCTTGTTGCATGCAGGTTCATACTTTTTACCAGTAAAGATTGAAACAGAAACTTTGCTACATTATAATACTGTGACTTTGTTAAATGAATGGCACCTATAGATGTGTGAATTGGCTCGAGCTAAACTCACAGTGTACGTTATTAGTCACATGGGGGGGGGGGTTCTTAATTTTGAATAATACAATAAATGCGTATAAAAATGATATCAATCCGGACTACTATATGGTGGAGGTGATTAACAAACAAGATCACCACAACCTTTTCAACAGAATAAACTTTCAACATTATTAAGCGTTAATCAAGTGTGATCTCGCCCTGCTAAAAAGCTCACCTTTCCTGCGTTTAAATCTCCTTAATTTTCTTTCACATGACTGACAACTACACGCAGTATTTCCTTCAATTGATGCCACATTTGTTGGAATTTGGATACTCAAATAAGGATATATTCAAATTTCCACGAAATGTCCCGCACTGCATCTTAAACATGTTCAGCAATAGTTTTGAGCCCTCCCCGACCGTGTCAGGTTAGTTAAAGAATGGCAATACTTGTGATCAATGAAGGCATTGTTTTTTACAGAGAAGGAATCACAAGTGCAAAAAAAGATTATCACTTACCTAATCATTTCTGACATGTGACAAGTGAAGTTTGTTTTACAAAAATCCCAATCTTCGGGAAATTGGGGTTAACCAGCCTTCAATAAGGAACCCCTTCCTCAATATGGAATATACTATTTAATTTTGGATGTTTTATACATTGTATAATTTCATCAGAAATATTTTTGCTTCAGGAAATGGTACGATCGGACTGGAAATCTTAGAAGATCTCCCCAACGTCGATACAATCATCGTACCTTACGGAGGAGGGGGGTTAAGTACAGGAATAGCCTCGGCTGTGAAATCAATCAAACCTGATACAAAGATATATGCCTGTGAAGTGGTGACTGCTGCTCCACTATCTGCTTCTCTGGTTGCTGGGAAACCAAGCTCCTGTCACTACACACCAAGTTTTGTTGATGGAATAGGCTCCAAGATGGTACTGCCTGAGATGTGGAACATGGTCTCAAATTTAATCGATGACTCACTGGTGGTTTCTGTCAAACAAATTGCAGACGCTGTTGCCCTTTTAATTAAGAGTAATTGCGTTGTGGCTGAGGGTGCTGGTGCGGCGCCTCTAGCTGCGGCATTGAATAAACTTGGTAGCGAGGGCAACATTGTATGCGTTGTATCCGGTGGAAATATTGATTCTGGCAAACTTATTTCGATATTACAAAATGAGATTCCACATTAACTTAATTCTGTAACTTAGTATTGTTCAATTCATGATAAATTATTGACCTGACACCAAAATTATGCAAGATATCCACTTTGTGGAAAAGTGTAGTGATTCATCAGTGACCAAATAAAATAAATCAAACCAATTGTCAATTTCAATATAGCGTGAAACTATTGTCTTCACGTGATGTTAACATCCAATCGTAAGCTTTATGTGAGGCACGTGATTTGTAGGTATATAAGGAGAAGTCTGCAATGGTAATTCATTCTACGCTGGACTAGCCACAATTCAGTTTTCCTTGAACATGAGAAAGCGACTACAGGTTTCCAGCTGTATTTTACCCCAAAGCCGTGTTTTTTTCTGGGCGGTATGGGTGCTAAAAATGATATAAATTAGTTTATATTTTTGTATCATTTTTGTTGCATTATACCTGTGTGTTCTTAGTTTTGTAATCGTTATTACTTTAGTAATGTGAATTTTAGTTTTTTGCGATTTTAAACCATCTGGCTGTTTTGGATTGGCATTGAGTAAATAAATGGTTGGTGCTGTGATTTAGTGAGTAGGTGTGCAGTCTGGTGAAACTGTCAATGAAACCCTCGTGGGCAACTGCCCTCTGTGTACCGTTACATGTAATTTAAATTACTTTGTCTGTGCTGTTTTAGTGGCAGAGGGCGCTCTACCAACAATCGAGGCGATTGACCAACCACCGTCAGACCGTTTTAGTATTCTCTGCTGTGAATCACAAATCATTTACCCACTCCTTCCTATTTTTTCTTTGTATGTGCTAGAATGATTATGACTATGAAATAAAGTTTAACACCTGGAAATAAACTTATACAAGAATAAATGAGAACATATCTAGGAAAATTTTAGGAACGACAGTGAGCATGGACCGTTCTCAAACTCGTCATCGTTTCAACTGGATTCAAGCAGGAAGAACACGAGTGGATATACGCGTGGGATTCAGGATGTCCGTGACTGTAGTGAAGAATTGTGTAGCGTGTATCAACTCACTAATCTGTAGACACCCGAAACACGACACATCAGGGCGTTATCAGAGAAAGCGTTGCGTTTCCTGTACTATACAGCGCACAACCTTCTTGCGCTAGAATCATGTCGAACCTGGTTTCACTATATCAGTCACATTGGGGACTGCCGCTCAGACGGCAATGACATTATTTTGTATAGCTGCCGGAGTCACAATTGTCCTATTTGGACATGAAAATAACGAGCCTTGTATATTTTTACGAACACATGAACGGTATTAACAATGCCCCCGACAGTGGAAAAATATGAACAAAAATATCTGCTTATGTAATATTATGTTGCATTTTTTAATTTTTTTGTTGACAACAATTGACTGTGCGCGATGCATTTGGTGTGTAATTTCGGTTTACTTTCAAAAACCCAGTCGTGTTGTGGGTCAATATTTCACTGAGTGAATGGTTGAAGCTATTCTACACAACAAAGTGTCTACATTTGTTGCAAGATATGCCATCTTGTTCAAGTTATCCCTCATTGCCTATGGAATCCTCAGAGTGCTATCAGTTTTGTCAGTTTTTTTTAGAGAGAATATATCACTATTTCATGGAATAGCAGTCGCTGTAGATCAAATATCTGTATATTTATAAAGCATCATCGCTATGAAATACATTTGGCAATCAATTTGCTGTTTATCAGCGACCAAACACGAAGAAACTTTATGTTACATTTTTACGGAAGTTGTTGTTTTACGCTAACGATGCGCACATTGCATCTTTCATTCACCGTAAAAGGGCTAAAAATGACATCTCGTAAAAATGTCATGGCCCTCTAAGTTTGTGTTATGGTTAGAAGATTATGGACACGTCCATGAAATTGAGTCTGAAAATGTTGTCGGAGTATATCCCCATGATCTATAGAACGAGGAGGCACATACAAATTCAGTGTCAAGTTTATTATTTTGTAAGGAAACAGTGAAAGAAAAACTACACGATCGCAATCTCCTGTACCTCAGCTTATGGTGACGAACGTCCTAATTGCAATTACACCATTGCTAGTAATTTCCCTCTCGTTACCTCAAGTATTGAGAAGCCATTGTTCCCAGAAGTCGTTCAATATTACATGCACGAAGGACTTGGTATAATGTTACGTCCAAGAATCTGGTAATATTGCACCAATTGCATAAATATACGCAACCCACCATTTTTAAATATAACAAGTAAACGTGCACACGAGCCAAAATTAGTGTGTACAGATATATTCATTTAAAATGTTACTAAGCAAGTATGTACTACATAAACTACAAACGAATTAACATTTCTATGGAATTCTCTAAACTTAAATCCGCTATGCGTAATAGTAAATATTTTTTTTAACTTTTAGCAGTTTTGAGACAGAAGCAAAGCATAATAACCGTATCAATGCACTTGATGGACCATTTACTAGACATAGTGTTCAGCTACCGCCGATTCACCCCTGTGGTTGATATTTAATGATTTGTTTAACTCATTTTTTTTCGTTCGTTGGTATCATCATGGTATCTCATTCCCATATAAAACGATCCGACCGTCCCGCATAAAATTGGACAAGATAACTGAAATTATGTTTGTTTTTTTTAATATTTTTTTCTTTATGAAACAGCAGTAAGCACACCCCGTATACTGTAAAGGGGGTAATTATTCACTGGGTTTTAATTTAGCTTATTTCGCTGACTGGAAAAATGCGCTAAATTAAAACACAGTGAATATGTAATATTTAGCATAGAACACATTATCCAAATAACGAAACCGTGAATTTAAAACCCACTGAATATGCCTGAAATGGTAAATCAGTGAAATTTAAACCCAGTGAAAATTAGTCATTTTACAGTACCTATCGTACCGTTTGTGTTCCTTGTCTATTCAACGCGATTCATCTTATTACATGTACTTCAACATATGCAGTCAGCCGAATCCTACCAACTCAGTTTCCACAACTCGTCGACTTCTATGAATCAAGTTTGTAAAACTTGCACCGTCGCAAAAAGTATGCGGTGGTGATGTTCTCTGGCACGTACTAAGTATACGAATACACAAATGACAATTGCACCGTTTGGTTGGAGCATGGAGGTCCCGTATTCGATTGTTTTGAAAGTTCACAGGCATACACCACGAACAGTTTGATTCATCGTATCAACGTTTTTCACATGAAGCCACATAATTATTGTATTGTTTCTTTTGCCTTTTTTTCTCATTTTTGAATGACAGTCGTAGATCGGTTAAGATAGAACATAGGTATTTTAATGACCATCTCTATATGTAACCAATTCATTCAACGACTACAGTGAATACAATCACTGTGTAGTACTCGATTTATGATGGCAGTTCGTCGACACCCATCATTGCTGGATATTACGTTAAAACAGAGCCTACAGAGCCCATTTGAGAAATCAATATTTGAGAAATGTAAGAAACAAATTAATAATTTTGATAACTTTACAATTGATGATAAATTTGCAATGACAATGAGGTATAATTTAACCTCATCACATATCACACTTGGACAATTCATTAAAACTGCTCTCCAGAAACACCTCCAAGATTTTTAACGCATTATTATTGTTATTACTTTTTAACAATGGTTTCTTCTACCTTTATTATTGCTATTGATGGGATATATTACTATTCATGTTTTTTTTATTTCTTTTATTTCGATTATTATTATTATTATTATTATTATTTAATCACTACTTTAGTCTTAGTGTTTTGTATTATTAGTCTAGTTTTGTTTAGTGTAAATGTAACCATTTTAATTCCCCCTGGGGGAATTTTATGTGTTTAATAAAAGTAAAGTAAGTAAGAAGTGAATACTTAGCATGGAGAGGCGTGGAGATCACCGAGCAGCTGCAAGCGCATGTACTATGTGATCAAATGTACGTGGGCGATGAGGAACCCGATGACCACTGGACAACCCGGGTGGACAAATGCCTGTGGCGGCCAGTTAACGCCCTGTGCATGTGTTTGTAAGTACTAGACTTTCAACAAAATAACACAGAGGTTATAAAATAAACTACATTAAAATTAGCATTATTATATATTATAAACATTTTCAAGGCGTTAATTGTGTTAATGAGTTTCAGCATGATGGCAAGATTTGAGCCATAACACATGAATAGGAAAAAGGGGGAAAAAAACAATAAGACAACAAAACACAGTATTCACTGGCATGTCGTTTTACCATATATTGTAATACATGTACACACATTTATAACATGACGTCAGGTCACATGACGTCAGGTCACATGACGTCAGGTCACATGACATGCAGGATGCTCGAAATGATTTTTGTTTTTTTATTATAATAGTAAAAATTATAGACGGTCAATGAAGTTATCTACGCTGTGTTTACATGTGCGTGACTATGGTAGCAGCATAATATTCTAACATTTTACTCAGTGATGCTTACAAGTCTTATTGTTTTCTGTTGTGGTTAGTTTTGTTTTCGAAAATGAATAACGATAACACAAGCAAATAGTTTAGTGTTCCAAAAATGGAAGAGTGATCGCGAAGAATCAAACGTAATCATCCCATTTCCCTCCAATAATTGCTATTTTCAAGGCATTTTAAGTATATATTTTTTTAATTTTGGAAAAAAACAAAACAATAAAAGTAGTGTATTCATTTGGCGTCACATTAATTGGACTCAGTGTTACATAGATTAAACAAAAAAGGAACACGCTAGCAAAAAGAGACAATTAACGTATAACGTATAAAGCTTCCCAATTCGGGTTTCAAAAATGCCATATAAAAAAAAAATGGAAATTGTGAAATCCTTCACCAACAAAACCGTTTTTCAAAATACCAAACGTGCGTTTCAAAAATGAAAACAAAAATGATTCATGTGAAAGATGACTTTTAGCTGAGATTACTTGCACGGTAGTCTCTTAGCCACGTATAGACATTTTAAACTGAACGTTTTTAGAAGTAGGGTTTGTTGGTAAAGTTTGAACTGAAACTTTCGAACATTTAAACAAAAATTAAGACGTGCAAATGCACTTACATCATTTTTGATTATCATTTGAGAGTTCAAACAAGAATTGCGCCAAACAGATACACGTGTTACATGTTTACGTATACTAGTAGTCTCAAACATGTTAAACATGTTGGCCATATCTCTAGGCTAGACTGTAGAGGGCCTCTGCAGCTGCCCATGTATCAGTAGGGAATTATTTTGCTTTGGGTGTGTAGGAAATTATAAGAACAAATAGTAGTGCATATTTTTTTTATTACATTGCAAATCGGTATATTTTTTGTTTTTGCTTATATTTCACACTATTTGGCATCATATGAATATATTAGATACCCCTGCTACCACCCATGAAATGTCTAATTTACATAAATGTGCGGAAATTAGGTCACCAAAACAAATAACACCTGCAAAAATAAAGTGTGTTTCCCACTCCAAATTGTTCTCAAATGTGTGGTATATATTATCAGTATTTGGCAATCCCCACATTAGTTTCGAACTGTGTACGCAGACCCTCACCACGTTTGCACAAAACTAGCACTCTCGGCCTCGCATGTGAGAAGAACGGAGACTCGTCTTGTTGAGAACGGATGTCCCCTCATTTACATAGAGCCAAATATGGAAACATGATTAGACGAACGGTGACGTCATTTCCAACTCGAGATATGACGTTATCATATTAGTAGCAAGAGTTGCCCAATACGCCTGAATAATTGAGTTCGTTTGTAAAGTATCAAACATAATATAGTAGCTTTTATTCAATATTCTTTCAAGCTACACTGATTTATTGTATTTTATTTATAAAAACAAGAACACTTTGCTGTTACGAATTGTTAGCGCTCTTGAAATCTGCTAGACAAGGTAAATTCTCAGTACATCATGCGAATGACGTCACGGGAACCGGGGCAACCTCTAAAAATTTACATATAAACGTCCGCGCATTGTACTGTGACTAAAACAAGGTCTTATATAAAACATATTTATAAACATGATGACATCAAATTAAACCATTTTGTTTAAAGCAGTCATTTTATAGAAACATAATTGGTGTTTCAATATGACTGTCAAGTGAGTATTTAAAGATAGTATAGGAATTGTCGCAAATGCGGATTGATACTATATGGCAACCTCCTGTACACAGTCAGGATTCTGGACATACCAAGGCTCAGGTCGGTGTTCCTGCCTAAAAATAGAACAGTGTCTACACCGTTTCTCATCTCAGCTGATCTGATCCCATTTTACTGGTCAGTAAAAATAGAAACTATAGTGTATGTGTTCTACTCTTTGCACTGAATCAATTTCCGTACATGGTTGGAATTTTTAATGATTTCGTGTACCCGTGTTGTCGTTGACTTTGGCTTGTGGTCGGTCACTCGTCTAGTTTTATCGATGCAGACGCTTTTCGTTTGAAAACAACGTGGACTGTCGATCTATTACAGCTCTCCTTTCCACGTTTTCGAACTAGTTTGTATTGTTTTGAAGTGCCTGCAACATTTCAGTATATGCACTGATTTATATGGTTGTATTATTTGCTTATATTTCTCACATCAAGGCTGTTTTGTGACATCGTGGTGGGCAGCAGCGAAAATACTTCCGCCATCGAGTGACGTTCATGCTACAACCGATCGTCCACAATCTTGTTTTCCTTGTTGACAAGCGACAAGTAATACCCGCCCGTGTTTATAAACCAAGATTCAGAATAGCTGTAATAGGAAGATTTATTTGGTGAGTGCCTTATTCTATTCTCAAATTATTATAGTATACAGTGACCAGCGATTTTGTTTATTCCAGCAAGTGTGAACTGAAACACAACATGGTATTTTTCATAACATGTCAGTCTGTGCGTGGTATCGTTGTCGGTATAAGGTCTGCTGCTAGGCTATGCCGACTAACGTCATCGCTGTTACTTAGCTCCAGATATGTAGCCAGGTTTAATAGACCAGCTGTTTTCGAATTGGGTTTAGTTTGGCTAAAAGTTTAAATGTCCTCATTCTCATTTTCTGAAACAAGGAAAGGCAAAAGCGAGGGGGAAACATCGAATGTTTATATCGAAACAATTACAGCGTTGCTGACTCATGTTCTAAATTTATTTCGGGATTTCCCGTTTCATTTTCATCGTTTGGCAAAACCTTTCCGACAGAGATTGTTTTTTTTTTGAATGCAACATACACATGCATGTAGCTTTGCATTTGTTTATTTATTTTTTTGCTATAATTTTCGTTAGATAGTGTCTAGCTGCCCTATTATCTGCATTTTATTGAGAATATTAATTCATAATTTCATATCTTGGTGGTAAGTTTTTTGTAAACCATTACATTTTCATCTCAAATGTGTTTGAGGATTTATTTTTGCTAGCATGGACAAAATGAAATGAATTCATACAGCTTTATATTTGGGTTCTTGGAATATTAGGTAACATATTTGATGGGCAGAATTTTTGCAAATTGTGGGAAAAATAAATAAACTCTGCTGGTTATTTCAGCTTCCCATTTGATTGTGTGTTTGAATTTCCTATGCCAACACTCCTGAATAGTGGTGTGTGGTTTCGCTAAGATTCGCTTTTGTTCCAAATTACTGCAGCCTACAGGAATTTGAAACATAGCAGAATCTTGGTGAATTCTCATTTCTCCCCTGTGATGCATGCAAATTACGACCATCAAGTATTTTATAAGTCTCAACCTCCCACTAAAGCCAGTGTTCTCCACAATCCAAAATAGTTCATGGTTGATCTAATTCCCGTAAATCTGCATATTAATTTGCATTTCATTTGCATATAATATTCTATTATTCATTATACCCTCAGTTTTCCAGTCTTCTTGTTTTTTAATTGAACCTTGTTTATATACTATTTATTAAAATAATATAATTTGCAGTCGTGAATATCAGATCAATATGTTATGCAATGCTCAGATTGAAGTTGGTTATCTACATTCTCAAAAGAATCCCCAATCACAAAGTGTACATGAATGAAAACCATTGCGTTCGATTTTCAAGGAAAAAGTACGAAAAATAAAAAAAATTTTTATTTTTGGTATCAATGGTACAATATAGTGCATTTTGTACAGGTACATAAAACAGTGATACACAGAATTGTTTTGGAATTCAAAAGGAAATATTATTGAGTTGCAAAATACAAGAATATAGCATGCTTTTGAGAAATTCACCATAAAAAGAATCTATAAAGTAAAAAGGTACATGAAGAGGAAAACAAAAATATGTTTTTCAATTACAAAAACTCGTGGTCAACTCATTCAGCAGCCATGTTTGATGTATTGTACCCCTTATTGCATTTGGTACAGAAATGCCCAGAATGCACTATTACTTTATGCAACTTCAATGTTAAATTATTACAGCACCAACAGTGGTGGCCAACAGCCAATAGGCTCTTTGTCAGTTTGCTTCTTCCATGTTGTTTCACGATGAATTGATTGAACATGTATCAATGTAGTAAATACGGCTAGGATTTTCATTTTTGTTCGAGATTACATGCAATCCGCTGATATTTTTTAATTTTCTGTACATATATATCTTTCATTTGTATTTTATTTTTATTTATTTATTTTTTCATTGAACATGGTTACTGAAATGACACCTGTGATAAGAACTACTGTAGTTGCGTACTGTTTGTAATCAGCAGTGGTCAGCTGTTTACTCGATTGCCAGGAATAAACTTGATAACTGCTTGTAGACTTCTAGTGGTCATTGTTTATATCTCACTTGACACAATAGCAAATAAAGGGTTGGGTAACTATTCTTTTGTAATGGCCTAGGAAGAACACTGCTAGCTGTTTACAAACCGTTTTGTAAACAATGACAACTGCTTGGCTGGCAGATGTACATTGGTTGATGAAGGGCTCACTGCTACTAAATCTAATGATTTTCATGAAAATCACGAAAATGTCTTTCTCATGACATTCTAAAATCACTTTGCATTATTTCTTGCATTGGTTCCTAATTAAGTCTTAAGTTGTGGTAGAAATATTGATTCGTATTGTTGAAATGTGATCATGAAGACTAGTTATGAAAAGTTTTCCCATTTTCAACATACTAATTTAAAAGTACATTTCAATTGAAATGTACTTATGAATTGAATATATTGTGAGATGGGGGAACTCAATGCAGCATTGCTGTACCATTTCGGCGTGTGTTGACTGTGGCCATGATGATGCAACAGCAATGCATGCATTATGTTTCACACACTATGCTTTCGAAAAAGTTGAATTTCGGACCAAAATGTAATGAATGCAAAACTGTCCATTTTTAATATTCATATGCATATTCACATCTGGTAATCCTATGAGAGCAAATTCTTAGTGGAGTTGGCTTTTCTTCATTTTAATCACAAGTGGGGATTTCATATGTACTGCAGAATACATAATCATTTTCTATGGAATAACATTGGTATTGTTTACAACTGATATATAAATGAGATAAAGTAGACCCTTCTAAAGTTGAGTTTTTCAGGCATTTGTTGCATAACTTGAATACTTTAGTTTTTCTGAGCATCCTACTGCTGATAAAAATTTTCTTTATTTTCAGCGTCTGATGTTTTCTCTTATTGGTTATCGTCAAAATTTATTACTGCGTTTTTCGATAAATCATTCAAATTTAGCAATTACCCTTCCTACAGAGATATTCGCAATCTATAAATTGATTTAAGTTTAGATAATTCTCCAATCGTTGCTATAGTTTCAAGGGATAAGTTTAATCAGAGTAGGTGTAACACTCCATATTGTGGTTGTGTATTATTTCAGCTGCTACCCTCCCTTCCTTCCGAAATATAGTGTACTGAATGAGATATTAGTACCGGTAGATCAATGCCACATAAATAATTTTCTTGCTTGCACTAACTTGCCTGGTATTAATATGATTCACTCTGACCTGCTGATTATACAAATGACGGATGACTACAGCTCACTGTTATGGTTTGACCTAAGCTATCTTCACTGTCAGTTCTTTTTTGACTCCCGTCTGCGAAGCACAAAAGGGAGTCTTTGCAGTTACCCTGTCTGTATGTCTGTATGTATGTATGTATGTCACTTTTTTTGTTCCACCGTTATCTCAAAAACTACTAATAAAATTTTGGTGAAAGTTGGTACATAGATGCTCTGGGATAATGCGCAGAGTTGATTAGGTTTTGGTAAAAATTCATGAATATTAATTACCTAATTTTCATGATAATTAGCTGATTTTTAGCTGTTCCATGACTGTTCCACTGATATCTGAAGAACCATTCATTGGATTTTGATGAAACTTGGCACATGGATGCTCTGAACTAGTGCGCAGATTTGATTAGTTTTGGGTAAAAATCTATGAATATTAATTACCTAATTTGCATAATAATTAACTGATTTTAAGCTGTTCCATGACTGTTCCACTGATATTTGAAGAATCACTCATTGGATTTCGATGAAACTTGGCACATGGATGCTCTGAACTAATGCGCAGATTTGATTAGTTTTGGGTAAAAACCTGTTTATATTAATTTCCGGCTTTGAATTCCACTGATATCTCAAGTACTAATCATCACATTTCATTAAACTTACATAGATGTCATATGATACTGCACAGACTGATAGTTTTTAGGGTATAT